AGAGCAGATGACGGGCTATCTTCCCATGTATTTATCTCAGCTTTGACCATTCCAACGAAAACTGACATTTTATGAGGGGGGGGGGGGGCTTAATGCTGGTGTTACTTGATCATGAAAATCATACATTGATTTATACAAACTTACTAATTTTGTTTGAAAAGATAAAATTTTTATTTTACTTGAACAATTGTAAGTTTAGTACAAACATTACTGATGCTTGCTTCATCTTTTTTACAAAGAAATAATTGAACAGATTGTGTTAATGGAAGAAGACAATCGGCAGCACCACTCTCTTGTAAATTTTGATCACGTAACCATTCTGTTAAATGGCTTAAATTATAACTAAACAAATACAAAATTAATAACTTGTTTAATTCTTTTTTTCTTTATAATAAAATTTACCCAATTTGAAGAGCTTTACTCCAATTACAACAATCACTTCGTAAAAGTAAGCCACATAGAGCTTGAGTATCAATTAAATAAAAAATCTAAAAATAAAAATTGAATATTTCTATTCAGATAAAATAAATCATAGACAAACTTCTTTGAATAGTTGTTGAACAATAGCTGGTTCAAGTGAATACATTTGAAATATTTTATGATAATCATATAACTAAATAGAATTTAATAGAATTTTTCTTAACAAAAATCTCATATACTTGTTTAAGAAGATCTTGTGCTGAAAATTTTGATCGTTTATCAGTAGAGGTTGATGCAGATGTCATGGGATTTACAGATGCAATACCACGTAAATCGAGATCTTCATGTTCAATTATAGCAGGAACTAAAAACAAATAATTAAAATATTCTATTTTCAAAAGGAAATAATAATCTTACTAATCATTGGTAATAATTTCACTTGAATTCTTTTAAGAAGTTCATCATATAAATGAATAACAAGATCAGCAAAAATAGTTCGATAATCAGCTAAATCGAAAACTTTTAATGCTTGTTTATTTTGTTTTGATGTATTTGTAGTTTGATATTTCTATTATTAAAGTTTATTTTATTAACAATATTAAATAATAGACATACCTCTTCATCACTATATTGTTGTAATGTATGAAGAAATTGTAAGGAGGAAAAAGTCATTCGAGTATTCCAATCCATTCGAAAGCACGTGCATCTAGTCCTCATTTTAACAAGTTACGGCTCGTGATATTTAAGCTGGCGTCTTCTATACGATTAAAACTTCAACGTAGACAAGTTTAGATAAATTTTCAACTAACGAGGGAACCGTTTGTAATGACCTTTCAGGTTCAAAGTTTGCGGATGAGATAGATCTCAACGGCGTTGAAAGCTCTTAATAGAGTGCTCTTAGCCCTTTTCTCTAAGTATTTAGCCATTTCACTGAAATTCAGCCTACTGCATGGCATTCAAAAACTATCGAATGATAGCCTTTTGATCCAATATAGTACCCTCAGATAGGCCTATCTAGGAGTGGAACCCCCTTACAATATCAGTTCGGAATTGTGTTTTCTTCTCGAGATGCTGAGTTACTAAAAAAAGCATGATATTCTTGTATCGTACGTGCGATTTGATTGATTTTCGGGAACTGAATATATCGAAAACAAAAAAAAACTTTTTTTCACCAGAAAATTTCAGGAAATTCTAATCCTAAATATGTCTATCTGTCGACAATATTATCAGCAGTGTCACATATCCAAGATTTTGGAGATGCCACCACATCTCCTGCGGGAGATGCCGCATCTCGCGCGAGAGATGCGAGTGTGGGTGTGGGGGATGCGTCTCTCTAAAGGAGATCT